TATACTACCAAGAGTAGTAGTAGTCTATTGTATGGTCGTAGATAGAAGTATATCCTTCTTTATACTACCAAGAGTAGTAGTAGTCTATTGTATGGTCGTAGATAGAAGTATATCCTTCTTTATACTACCAAGAGTAGTAGTAGTAGTCTATTGTATGGTCGTAGATAGAAGTATATCCTTCTTTATACTACCAAGAGTAGTAGTAGTAGTAGTAGTAGTAGTAGTAGTAGTAGTAGTAGTAGTAGTAGTAGTAGTAGTAGTAGTCTATTGTATGGTCGTAGATAGAAGTATATCCTTCTTTATACTACCAAGAGTAGTAGTAGTAGTAGTAGTCTATTGTCTGGTCGTAGATAGAAGTATATCCTTCTTTATACTACCAAGAGTAGTAGTAGTAGTAGTAGTAGTAGTAGTAGTAGTAGTAGTAGTAGTAGTAGTAGTAGTCTATTGTATGGTCGTAGATAGAAGTATATCCTTCTTTATACTACCAAGAGTAGTAGTAGTGTATTGTATGATCTTTCTCCTCTTCTTAATGTTAGATATGGTATGATTAGATCCATAAATGAGTCATGGTCTTCTTCTTCTTCTAATAATAAGAGAGCAGAGTGTAGGAATCAGGATGCCTACTGTAATAGTATTACTATAATAATACTAGGACTATCATCATCATCATCATTACTTGCTATTAGTTGCTACATCTAAAGATGGTATAACATTGGTTGGTCTATTCGATGGTCATGGAGGTAATAGAGATAGTAAATCATCATCATCATCAAAACAGGAAGAGCTTAGCCATTATATGGCAAGTGTAGTCCCTGATGTTTTCTATAAGGTAGTAGTAGTAGTAGACAAGGTCGAAAGGTCTTTAGATCGATCCCATCACATCACATCATCATCATGATCAGACTATCGCTCTTCTTTTACCAGACAAGATAGATATATCAACTCTCCTTAATCCATCATCCACCACCACTACCAAGTAGTAGTATTATAATAATATACTATTGTATATATCCCTATAGACACCTTGATAACCTATATCCTAATGGACTACCACCACCACCATATCATGGTCAAGATGATGATGAACATCCTCCTTTACCAGCAGTTATCGATGCTCTTACTCGTAGTATAGTCGTACTATTAGTAATATCATCTTGTATGATCATAATAATAGATACATTAAGAATATGTGAAGAAAAGGCACTAATATCAGGACAGATTGATACATCTAATAGCGGGAGTAATACATGATGTTCATAATGATGATGATGATGTTCGTCATCGTTGTTCATATGTAGGTACTGCTACTCTACTCTG